TCAACTTAAAGGATCGTTATCCGCAGCCCTTGCACTTTTCTTTGATTTTTTTTTTTGCCAATGCGAATGCCACCACAAGTCTATTGTTACCTGCATTGTTTCTTTGATGCATGCTTTACTGCTTATTTGGCAACCAATTTGGTTTCTTTCTTGTCACATCGCTTCGATGCATGCCTAATTGTCGTTCTCCCGCGCTCGCCTTGCTCTGCCTACCCTGGTACCTTCCACGCCGTCAACCTTGTCGTTAGCTACTATATTTTCTTGTCCTGTTGCCTGCCGTGATTCGCATGTTTTACCATTCACAACTAGGTTCAAAAGCAGATTGTGACTCATAGCACCACTGGTGGAGCCCATACAATGTGAAGCATTCATCGTCGTGGTAAATTGATCAGATTGTAACAAAAGAGGTTTTCACTCTTGTTTGATGTCTCCTTTCCTGTATCTTCTTTACCATGTCATCTGCTTGCCCGCAATGCACTGTTCCATTTTGTCCAATCTGCCTTCCCATTTTCGCGTGCTCCTTACCGTCGTCATACATGCAAACCTTTGTAAAACGCCGTACGCCGTACGACTGTTTTTTAGAATGGCCATACGAACGACCGGTGGGATGGCTGAACAACCGTTCGTACTAAGGTCGTACTACGCTGCATTTGCGTCCGAGAAATATGCAACAAAAAAAGAGCACGAAAAGCTTTACAACCCCATTTAAAATTTTTCTTTTTGGTCTTTGCTTAGATTATAAAAATAGAAAACATTAAAATGAGCAAAGACACCAAAATAAAAGTGAAAATGATCGATCATCAAATCTCCCACATCAATGTGCGGCCATGTGAGGGAGCACATGTGCTCCCTTTGTCTCTGCTTGTACGACCGAGCGAGCGAGAGAGAGCGAGAGAGCGAGAGAGAGAGAGAGAGAGAGAGAGAGAGAGAGAGAGAGAGAGAGAGAGAGAGAGAGAGAGAGAGAGAGAGAGAGAGNGAGAGAGAGAGAGAGAGAGAGAGAGAGAGAGAGAGAGAGAGAGAAATTTCATTAGTAATCAAGAATACAATTGAGTCGACTCTTCCTTCCCTCTTCACCTCCAGTTCCTCCCCACCAACTCGCCACCTCAACAATGCCAGTCTCTCCATGAAAGCCACTGATGAAGACCCTCTGCAGGTACCAGCTATGGCGCCCAACCTCCAGCATCAATGCTGGCTATGGAGGATGGCAGCTTCTGCCCAACTATTGATTTTCCAAGAGACAACTGTCTCATGTGGGGGCACAGGTTGCCCCATTTCACCCTTGACCAGGGCTAGGCCGGCAACTGGCCGGTTCAGCTTGCCCGGTCCAACCGGCGCTGGACCAGCCCAGGTGGGGTGAACCAGGAAACCGTTTTTTTTAATTTTTTCCAAAAATAAAGCCCTTTTACTCAGGCTTTTAGGCTTCTTACCGCACTCTTCAAGAGCTGTCGAAATCCGTAATGAAATTTTGAAGGTCCAAGTTCTTTCCGGGGGTGCCCCAGGGGAGGTGGGGATATTATTGGGATATTCACGGAGGAGTCACTTTCAGGGGGAGGGGTCACCACCAACTGGGATAGAGGCCTTGCACAAGGGCCTTGAAAAAGGGAAAAAAAAAAAAAAAAAAAGGGGGGGGAGAGGTCGAGTAAGCAAGGTTACTTATCCGAACCCCCATGGCCCAAGAACTTCAATTCAGCAGCAGCGAGCATTCTGGACTATGCCAACAGCCATCAAAATCTTGCAAGCCTGAAGGAGCCATGATAGAAATTGATACTTGCCAACACTCACAGGTTTTCCAGAGTATAGCTCGATGGGAGAAAAGTTATGGGTGCAGGTTTCCGCTCGTGCAGTCGTTTTTTTTTTGCTTTTTTTTCCCCTACGCTGGGTCATCAGTGTCGTCAGTCCGAAAGTATCTCGCCTGCCAGTCTTTCCAGATACGTGAAGTGGAGTCACGGCCATTCTAGATAGAGTGAGAAGGGGGAAAAAAAAGCTTAGGTCCATTCTTGGGCTTGCACCTCGGACAGAGCCGAAACCCAAACCCATAACTCTTTCCCCTGAGCTTAGTGACGTTGCAGAAGCATATAACCTCAGCAGAGCCACTGCTCTTGCATAGTAATTCCCTCGTGGATGAGGATGGACGAGTAACCCCTGCCAACGGTAACTGGTCCGTGGTATGTCGGACCGCACGATGCCAAATCGAAATATGGGGCCTGGTGGGCCCCCAATTGTTGAGAAAATGCGTGTCGCGGTTGTGCCCTGATCTGCAAAGATAAGCGGCGGAGATCCTCCGCTCGTCGTTTTCCAGAAGTGGGGCCCAAAAAGGCCCAATTTGTTTTTCAAACGCGGCTGCGGCCTCGTGGGGGCTGGGCAGTCGTGGGGATGCCTGTCACTGCCCGGTAACCCCCGTCCAGCCTAACGCGCTGGATTCGACGAGGGGTCTGCCGGGCCAGTCGACCGGCCGGTCCGACCGGCAGGCTCCCAGGCGGGGGGAGGGGCCCCCGGTCCAGCCAAGGACCAGCCCTGCCCTGGACCCCATACCCCTTGACCCTACCGTCTTCACCCAAATACAACGCCTGGTCATTATGGCGGTATCGAGACTGAAAATCGCACTTAATAACAGCTGTAATGACCGGGCGTTCTTCTCGGGTGACGAAGGTAGGCCTTTTCTCAGACCTCTCTAGAGCTAGAGTCGCACCTTTTGACCCCCCTGAAGACCCCTGCATTTTGACTTGGACCGAAAATTACAACCCTGCCTTTTGACCCCAACAGAATGTCATTCCCACCACCCCTCATCTTTTGACCCCTGAATCTTTGACTTGGACCCCTGAATCTTTGACTTGGACCAAAAGTTACGACCCTGCGGCCCTTGCCTTTTGACCCCGACAGAATGCCATTTCCACCACCCCCTCATCTTAACCCACCAGTACAACGGGTACATCTGGAGAATCATGGATCAGCCTCCCCAAAAAGTTCCGCCTGGGGGTGGCATAATTTCTTTTCTGTTTGGTGCTCCGCCTGGTCCCACCCGGAAGGCATGGGACAATTTCTTTTTCCACCCGCCCTTTGGAGGCCCTTTTACAAGCCTCCGAAATTTTGGGAGGGGTTCAATCGCGATTCTCAACTTGGCTGGGGCCATGTACTGCTGGTTTGATTATGCAATCGCTGACATTCCCTTCCAGCTGAGGACTCCGCATTACAGCACCGGTACACCACACGTCGGCCAGCGGGTGTCAGCATGAAAAACCCGCACCACTTCGGAGGCCGCTGAGCTTTTTTTTCCCAACAGCGCCCCTGGCCGAGCGACGCCTACGAGTTTTGCTTGTGGCGACAAAAACTTTCTGCAAGGCTGCGGCACTGATCGAGAATTATGCAGCCTACACCTATTTGAGATTACAGAATGAACCGGACAAGAGGGTGGATGGATGGGCGTAATACCTTTCCTGGTCAAGAGGGTGGATGGATGGACGTAATACCTTTCCTGGCCTTTTGGCCACGTAAGATCAGGCCAAGTGTAGCATTTGTTCTCATCACTTTCATATCTGATCTGTAGTCTACCGGAGGAAGAAGGGAAAAAAAAACAGAACACTAGAATGCAGCAAGAGCGCTATCATCTTGGGACGGGATTGGTCAAACTGACAAGTCAGCAAGGGCCTCCTACGTCGTCAAACGACGGGCGCGGCGACACAATAGCACCCTTTAGAGATCCTCACATAATGAAACCGCTACTGAGGATCAGCCACATCAGCACTTAATACAGGCGAAGGCTCCTCCTGCAGGTACAGGGAGAAAACAAGCACTCAAGACGAAGACGAATGGACCCAGAGAAAACAAGCACAAAAGTCGAACGACCCAGAGAAAACAAGCGCTAAAGGCGAATGGACGCGAATAAAACAAGCGCTAAAGACAAACGGACCCAGAGAAAACAAGCGCTAAAGACGAACAGAAATAAGCAAACAAACAAACAAACAAAAAATAATAAAAATGGTGCCTACTACCGCCTGGATAAGTTAAACACTGTCCTTCACAACATTCATAAAAATTGGAGCGATAGCGAGAAGATTAGCATGGCCTTTGTGCAAGGATGATGGCACACATAAATCTAGAAACGGCCCAGGTTCGGAAAAACATTCAAAAAAGTTCAAAAAACTAACAAACAAACTATAAATCGTTAGCCACATTTCTCACTAGACTCCTTTACCAGGGGCCCAGGGGGTCAATCACACATGCATCTCTTTTTTTCTTTTTTTTTTTTTTTTAATCACACATGCATCTCACACAGGTAGACACACGAAGTCACTCGTTACGACAATCAGCAAACCCGTCCATACAAATTTAATAACAAAAATGCGCTAGCTTCATCATCAAAGAAGAGAACACATAAACATCAAACTCTGTGGTGAAGAAACAAAAGAAATAAAGTTTAATAAACCCTCTAAAACACACGACGACTGACATTGAGAAGCCGACACACACACATGCACACGCATGCGCACATGCACGGGTGCACCAAACAGACCACGAGAAGCATAAAAAAAAGGTGAGGAAACTGCAGGCACTCGAACAACCACACAGAGACAGGAGGACGAAACATACAGATCACTACAACAGACCAGAGACGCACACAAAGCAATAAGAGAAGGACACTGAAAGAGAGACATATAACATGTGGGTGTTTCGAGGTGGAGAAGGCAGCAGGGTTGGGGCGGGGG